GAGGCCGGCGCGGCGCTGGGGGAGGCGGAGGCCGCGCAGTGGGGAGCTGGGTGCTGCCGGGCCTCTCCGGGGGCGCTGCTGTCGCGTCTGCCTTGAACCGCCGGCAGCATCGAGCGCTACGGGAACAGCATCGCTGCGCTTCCGTCGGCGTCCAGATGTCGCGACTGCCGTCAGACCTGGTCCGCGGGAGAAACCACGCTTGTGCTGTAGCTTGGGAGCGTGAGTCGGGTGTTAGGTTGTGGTTTGGGAAGGGTGGCTTCAAGCATCTGGTCTAAAGTTCCCAGGCTCGGTGGAAAACGCAGTTTAGACACACTGCACCTAATGCTTAGATTTGCTGAAGCAAACAACTGGCCTCGCAAATAGTTTGGTTACGGATTATTAGGATAACATAGAGAGGAGAGCCCTTTTCAGGCTTTCATCTCTCATATGGACAGGACTGTCATAAATAGAAATGCACTATTCATATCAACAAAAGGAGGGTCTGGGGTTTGGCTATCCCAGTACAGTCATCTTGCTGTACAGAATCTCCTGGGAAATGACAGCTAAGTAGATTGACTGATTGAATTCTCAGGTGCTCTCCTGACGCAATCTTATAGCTAATAACAAATCAGTCTGCTAATTTGGCCTGTTACGCTAGGCGACAAGGTTAGTGTAGCTGTGCAAGAAGGAATTGGGCAGAGTATTGGTCTCCATGTGTTCTTAGGCCAAGTTTTGACTCGCACATACAGGGAGCGCGAAGTTACTTGAGGACAGACACTTGAAACATATGATGCTGGATTTGCTGTTCATGCTGCGCCTAGAATACAGCGCAGCAGTGGCTGCAAGTGGTAATTTGAGCTTTCCTCAGAAAAATTAAGCTGCTTCAGAATGCCTTGTAAGAGATCAGTTTGCTCAGTGGAACGAAATGCCAAATTTTAGTTTTTTTTTTTTTATTTAATCTTCTAGAATTTTTAATTGTCAGAGCTGTGTAAAAAAAAAAAAAAAAAACCAAACCAAAAAATACAACAGCATCCCTGCTGAAAAACACTGATTCAAAGAATTACTGGATATGCTAACATAAGCTGTGACGATGTCTTTCATAGAAACAAAGCTTACACAAAATACTTTTACCTTCACAGGTTTTTCAGTTCCTGAATGCAAAATGTGAGTCTGCATTCCTTTCCAAGAGAAACCCCCGTCAAATCAACTGGACTGTTCTGTATAGGCGTAAACACAAGAAAGGACAGTCAGTAAGTATACACCAACTAAAAGTATGCTCAAGTTTTATACCAAAAGAGGTGGTCGCTGGTCTGTTAGAGTAGAGGTAGCTTCAGTGTGCTAGAGGAGGAAGAAGACTGGCCAATAATGGTGAAAACGTGAGTGCGTTTACATGAGTAACCAGTTCAACAAAAGCATCGTATTTTATTGTATTGCTTGAGGGACCACTCAAACCACGGTAGGTTCAGTAGATTTGAGCAATTGTATGAGTGGCATAGGTTTTAAAAAAATAGTTTTAGAAAAGGTGGGTAATGCTGTTTAATGCGCAGACTTTCTAAAAGTTTGGCCTTGTAAACTGCCTGAATGGTGATAGCATAGAGCACTGATTTGGGGGTTAAAGGGTGGGGGAACTTTTTGCATACCCTTCTTGAAACTTTGGGTGGTAACTTAGTAGGTGGTCTTTCCTGCGTGGTTGTCATTGCATGAAAAAGATAAATTAATAAGGCATGTTGCATGAGGTATTTTTAGTGCTCTTGCATAAACTTGCACAGCAAAAGAGCATTTAGGAAGGATGGCATATGTGTTCCAAGTCAGTGTTTTTACCAGTTTGTTTGGAGAAAGAAAGTTGATGCTCGATGGCTTACACTGCTGCCCAGCACCGTGATCCCACTTGGAATGGGTGGGAAGTGTCTTCCTTTCGGAAGATGCCGTCAAAGCAGACTTCATCCCTCCCCCCTTTTATTTTCTGGGAGTTACATAAGCCTGAATTTCTGACATTCTGCAAAACAATTTTTTTAGTACCTTGCAGAGGAGAATACATTGTTCTTCTTTAGCTATCCATCTGCTTTGGAAAATCAAGAAATCTGTTATCTCTGAAGTGAGGAGTAAAAATTCTACTTCTGTATACAGCTTTATAATAGCTTCAATTTTAATAGGAGCTTGTTGCTATAATTGTCTTTAGCCTTTTACTTAATGTCTTGTGATACTAATTGTCTTCATCTTCTGCCATTTTAGGAAGAGATACAAAAGAAGCGCACGCGTCGTGCTGTTAAGTTTCAGAGAGCCATCACTGGTGCATCTTTAGCTGAGATTATGGCTAAACGAAATCAGAAGCCCGAAGTACGAAAGGCGCAGAGGGAACAAGCCATTAGGTGAGAAATCAGAGATAAATGGACTATCCCAGGCTTTTCAAAGATGAGTAATGCTTTTCATACAAGAGCTTAAACTGCATATGAGCTCCATGTTTTATAAGCTTTTTTTGTGCGTTTGGGTACATTTTGAAGTAATATAGTAATCTCAGCAAGAGGTAGTAGCAGCAGAGGAAAAGGTCTCTTCTTGCCCTCGCCCTTTGTAAAAATACCGCTTTGTTTCTGTAGGAGTCCCACTAGAGGGTACTGAATGCAGAGGATAAACCTGAAATAGTGCATTCCTTCCTTCGCCTTGGGGAGTTCTTACAGTGCTGAGACAAAGCAGCAGTGAATGGCAGACACGGATAACTGTTACTCTCTTTCTGTGAATTAACAGGGCTGCAAAAGAAGCCAAGAAGGCTAAACAGGCAACCAAGAAAACAGCTGTTTCTACTG